CGACTGCACCCCGGCCGGCGCGCTCCTACCCAAGAACCGAAGCCCCAGGCGGCGTGCCCCGGCCGCCTTCCCCTAGGCCAGCCTTGGCACCCACCGGTGTGCGCGTAGGACACGGGCACCTTCCAGATGCTGACGTGCGCGGACACTGACGCGAAGTACTTGCCGAAGGCGAGCGGCAGCACGTAGCGCGGGTAGAAGCGCGGTGGCAGGAGCGGGCCCGGCGACTGATGCGGACCGGGCCCAGGGCCCGAGACGGGCGGCGCCGGGGGCACGCGCCAGGCGCGGAGCAGAGGCGGGAGCCCCGCGCACAACGCCAGGATGTGGCACAGCGACACGGTCACGGGGAACGGGAAGGCGCTCAGGATCACCTTGTTGACCACATTGCCGCCCGCGCTCAGCGCGTACCACAGCAGGCACAGCGCCGCCACCCGCGCGCCCTCGCGCGCCCCGCCGCTGCCACCCGCGGCTCCTGGGCCCCCGGCGCCAGCGCCCCCTCCCACCGTCGCCGCCACCGCCATCCTCCCAGAGCGCCCACCCCTTCCCGCCCGTCCGACGGCCCGACGCCGGGCGGGGGTGGGGCCGGACGGGAGCGGGAGCGCCAGCCAACGCTGCTCCCCATTGGCCGCCACCTCTTGCGTCACTGACACGAGCCGGCAGACGCGCCCGCCACCACGTAGCGAGCGCAGGCCCCGCCCCCTCCCGAAGCCCCCCGGGGGAGGGGGGGCCAGTCCCGGAAGCGGAATGAAGGGACGGGGACCGTAAAGCCACACGGGCTCTTCAAGCGGTGGGGTGGCCCGGGGGACCGGGGAGGGGGGCCCAGAGCACAAGCAGGAGGGGCGGGCGGGAGCGTTAGGCCCCGCCACGTCGGTGTCTGTGAGCGGGCGATCGAGTTCGTGGGTCAAACCTCGATGTCCGGGCTGCATCGGCGCCCCCCAGCCCGATTCCTGATGGCCGGCGGCGGACAACTAAGGTAAAAGACCAGACCTTTCGGGGAGAGAAACCGAATTGTAAAAACCTCTCCTTGGGCTAAATTCCTTCTGCAAACCGGGAGCGAACTCCCGTGGCTGGACTCCAACAGAGGGGCCAACCTCAGAGCGCCCCGGAGCACGTTCTGGGAACTCGATGTGCGCTGTGCGGTGAAACGAAGATGGTATTACCATCTTCATTTCACCTACTGACGGACCGAAGGCCAGAGAAGGGAAGCGACGTGGCTTAGATCCTCCGGCCAATTTGGGAGCCGTGGTAATGGCAGCCTCCTCGGGCATCTGTCTCTAGGGGATCTGCAGGAGGGAGGAGCGTGATGCTGGCCCCGACTGCTGACGCCCAAAGACCGGCTGGGATAGAGCAGCCCCAGGCCGCAACGGAGGAAAACAAAATGGTGTTTTCAGCAAGGTGATCTTATACTGAAGGACTTTGTTCGAAAAATCATGTACTTCCAACTTTTGGGGGGATAGGGAATGTTAAAATTTCCTTCTACCGTGTCCTTACTTGGCAAATTAAAAAGTGATTGCCCAACTTGATCCCCCAAATGTTGGTGGCAGGTCTTAGCTTAACCTTGTGTTCTCAAAGGCAGGCAATATTTGTACCCTAGGGCTTACCAGATACTCAGACACAGGACAGGTGGTCCCTGCAGGGGGTGGGGGAGCAGTGACCTCCCTCAAAGCCCAGGCCTGAGAGGACAGGCTCATGGGATGCCAACCTGCACCCTAACAGCTTCCAGCTGTGCCTGTGACCCTTTGTCACAAGAATAATGTCACCCTCAGGATACCCATATGTCAGCTGGCCATATTACAAAGTGAAAAAACAGGCACAGTGGACTTAGGAAACTAGTTACTCCACGGCACAAATGGTCCTGCTGACATGCTTTCCTTTTTTCCCCCCTAAAGTTTGATGATTTAATTTAGTCCTCACAACTCTGGGGTAGCACTTGCGTCTCCCAAATGGGGACAGGTGCACAGGAGTAAAGTGATTAGCCCAGTTCCATACAGATGGTAGATGGCAGGGGCAGAGTTCAACCTCACACTGCCCTTAAAGTTACTTCACCTACTTTTTCTAGGAGTGGGTGTGTCCTGCACCACGGTTATGTCAGAATTCCCCACTGGCTCTGAAACTGTGGTTCTGGGTTGACTGAATGTTCCTGGACCCCATGGTTTGCCCTGTGGGGCTGCCCCTCTAAAGGGGTAGCTGCTTCCTTACCTGTGAAATTAAGTAGATATGGACACTATTCCAGAGTGAAAAAAACTAGAAAGCCGAAGCATACAGTTTCAGAGACAAGGGGGAAGAATTAAAAGATTACCAAGGAAGTCAAGGAAGAAAAGTTATTTTTTAAAAAGTCAGCCCCAGCCAGACCGTAAGACAGCCCCAGGCCTGCATGGGGAGCTGGCAGCCTGGGGCTAGCTAGGGCCAAGGGCTAGGCTGCCAAACACAGCTTGGAGCCATGCCATTTAAGAACTACAAATATTTTAGGGGGTAAGACAAGGTCACTGAGACCTGGGTTGTGGAGCTGGCTTGGGAGGGCTTCTTTCTGGGGAAGATGAGGTCTGGATGGAGACAGAAGTGGCCCCTTGTTCTGTCACCCAAAGCTAGCAGGTGACTCTAGAGGTGGGAGAGGCATCGTGGCCCTGAGTGAATGAAAGGCAAGGTGGAGGTCAGTCTCCATGCGGAAGGCTAATAGGCTGACTTTGTGACTTTGCCCTGCCCACCTCCCCACGGTCTGTAGCTATGGGGCCTGAACCGTGGATGTGGGGTCCAGGTCTTGGCTAATCCAGAATCCAGAAAGGGCTGATAATGGCTGTAAAGGACCAAATAAAAAACAGTTCTCAGACTGGTTTGTGCAAATGTTTTTTTTTTTTTATTTCCACATTTATATCACAAGTGTCCACTTACTGGACCAAATAGCAAAGTTGCTCCCTTCTGCGTCCTGAGAACACAGAAGTCTAGGTACTGTACATTCACTAAGGCTCCTTGTTTTTGCAAATCGCGTTTATGACAAATAACCATAAGGCAAACGAATCTAAAGGAATGGTTATGAGTGTTTCCAGCGTACAGACAGGTCTCTTCTCACCCAACCGTACAGCATACACACCAGTAGCACCCACGGTTACTTTTGTGTTTTCTGGGGAGGAGACTCTAGAAAGGTGAACTTTTCTAGATATGTGCAGGAAGGGGAAAATGACGAGGGAGGAATAAGGAACGTTATTCGTCTGATGGTCAGATGAAAGAGGGGGGTAAAATAAACTCCAGAAAACTTAAATTTTTGCAGCATTTCTTTAAAAATTGGGTTGTAACTGAAACCAGATACAAATGTGTGGACGCCCAGGGAGCATGGGTCAAACTGGCTGGCAAGCTGGCCTGCCTGATGCCAGCAGCTCGCTACAGCTGAGAAGCTTCTGGCACCATGATGGAAAAGCTGGCCAGGTGGGGTGCAAACAGAGGCCACAGCGTTGCCCACTGCCTCAAACACTCAGGGCCATGTTAAAAAACAGAAAATGCAGAGATGAGATGCGTGCTTCTGTTGCTGTGTTAAAGGTAACCTCTTCCACAGGTTTTCTGTGCCTGCCTGCAACTGAGGTCCCAGCTCACTGGGGGCTGGGAAGCGTCCGCACCTCTTCTGGGGTGGGGGGCTAACGCTTTTTATAGCTGGTTTGCTATAGAGTTCTGAACTCACTTTGCTGGCCTTCCTTCCACGCGGTCCTTCCTTTGCAATTTTGTTAGTAAACTGGTAGCAGCATTTCACAAAAGAAGGAGAATTTTGAGGGAAGAGCACAGAGAGACCTAGAGACTCTCGCTCCCTCTCCCTCCCACCCCAGGCCGGACCTCCCCCCCCCCCCCGGTTTCCCCACCCCTGGCGG